AATTTACACTGCGAAAATAATCAAATAATCCAGTTATGGTAACAATAATAAGACTGTAAAAACTTACCTTTATCGGAACAGCGTTGGAAACAGCAGATAGACCTAAACACAAGCGACCATTGTCAGTTACGTAGAGTAGAATTTAAAAAAAATCTATCACGCTCGGAACAGAGTGTTTACGGTAATATTTACAGGCTCGATATTCGCCGTGGTACTGTGCTCTGACGAAACGTCAGTCCGTCCGCATATTTCCTCGCGCGTGCGCGTTGCAAAATGGCAGCGACGCGTCGGGTCGATAGTTTCCTCGCGATAAGGTATCGCTGAAGGTTCGCCCCCATGCTGGGTGACATTGTAAAAACGGGGTAATGTTTAGGAACGAGGTCACCAGTTTGTATTGCGCGCTCTTCCGCAGTGTGTTGCCAGAGTTAGAAATGTGTTACAGTAACAAAAAAAAGAAACTATTAATCTTTAAGTAATAAATAACAATATCAAATTTATATTCTCGGGTACTTTAAATTTTAGGTATTTTTTTTTTAATTAAAAGGAGAAGAATGTATGTTAAAGAGATGGAAAGAGTATTTTGAAAGTTTGTTTGAAAGAGAGGAAGTGCAGGTACAGCATCTGCCACCTTCCACGGAAACTAATATAAATGTTGATGAAAATGAGATAAGCATGGATGAAATAGTGAAAGCGTTGAAAAGTATGAGATTAGGTAAGGCTGCAGGGTATGACAGGATTACCGACGAGATGCTGAGGGCCTGGTGGCTAGTCAGCTGTACCGCCTTTTCAATCTGTGCTGGCGAAATGGGCAAGTACCGGGAGACTGGTGCAAAGCCGTAATCGTGCCATTGTATAAGGGAAAAGGGTCACGGCAAGACTGCATAAATTACCGCGGTATAAGCCTTCTCAGCGTCGTCGGTAAATTGTATGCAAAAGTGTTGATTGAAAGGGTTGTGAATGAAACAGACGAGAAAGTATGGGATGCACAAGCGGGATTTAGAAAGGGAATGGGATGTACGGATCAGGTCTTTTCCTTGCGGTGCATAGCCGAAAAGTGTTTGGCTAAAAACAAGAAAGTCTACTGCGCGTTCGTAGATCTAGAAAAGGCCTATGATAGAGTGGTGAGGAATGAATTGTGGTCAGCACTGTCCGTGAACGGTGTGAGCAGTATCCTCATACGAGCATTGCAATCTCTTTATAGGGATTCTAGTGCTTGTGTAAGAATAAACGGGGCATACACTGAATGGCTTAATATCGAAAAAGGTGTTAAACAGGGATGTGTAGCGTCACCGTGGCTGTTTAATCTGTTCATGGACAATTGTTTGACAGATTTAAAAGAGTATGAAAGTGGGTTGAGAATGAATGAGTTACTCGTCAAATGTTTTCTCTATGCTGATGACCAAGTATTACTTGCGTCTTCGGCCGAGGAGTTGCAGGAGATGGTATCTGCTATGAGTGGAGCTTTTGTTAGAAAGGGAATAAAGATGAATGTAAGGAAGACGAAAGTGATGGTGTTTGAAAAAGATGAGGCAGTGACAGACTGCAATATTGTGATTGAAGATGAACAAATTGAACAGGTGAAAGAGTTTGCGTATCTGGATTCAAAGTTTACAAGAGATGGAAAGTGTGAGAGTGATATCGAAAGAAGAGTGAATGCAGGAAACATGGTGAATGGAGCTTTACACTCCTTTATGAGCAGTCGGAAGGTGTCTAACAAGGCTCGTTTGGCTGTGCATGAGGGGGTGTTGGTTCTGACACTCATGTACGGAAGTGAAAGTTGGGTATGGTAGAAGAAACATGAAAGCAGAATAAATGCAGTTGAGATGAGAGCATTAAGAAGTATGATAGGAGTTAAACTGAGTGACAGGATAAGAAATAGTGAGATAAGGAAACGTTGTGATCTGAAAGAAGATGTAGTGATAAAAATTGAGAAAGGTATGCTGAGATGGTTTGGCCATGTCGAGAGAATGAATGAAGAACGATTGACGAAAAAAGTGTATAAGGCGAGTGTGAATGAAAGTGTTGGAAGGGGTAGACCTAGGCGGACATTTCTAGACCAAATCAGGGACGTCTTGAAAAAAGGCCAGGTCAAGAGTACCCTAAACCTTAGAACATGTATGAAGGGAATAATGAAAGTAGACGAAGCAAAACAAGTATGTAAGGATCGTACGAGTAGCAAGTGGAAAGAAGTGGTCACTGCCTACCCCTACGGGAAAGAGGCGTGATTATATGTATGTACGTAATGTTAATATAACACGACGTTTAACTTCCATAAGTAAAATATATGTAGCAGTATTAACATATGAAATTACTTTTAGTGTTCGGCCATTATTAGATTTTCATTATAATTTGCTCCTGTGAGCCAGACAGCAAACATAATATTAGACCTAAACGTATTTATAATTTATTTCTGTAGATTCAGACCTATGAATGGCTTCTGTTTGTGTTTTCTTGGCGAATTAATTGTGTTTTACTACGTGTTTATGTAATAACAAAACATTTTATAAGCTGCAGAATCCAATGATGACAATAGAATTACGGTAAGAAGTCATACTTAAGGAAACGAATAAAGAAACAATTCTAATAAATTGTTATTTAGTACTGAATATCGATTAATTGTAATGGAGCTAGTGAATTCCCACTATACCTATAAATATTCAGCAGCACTTAATTCTTCTACTAAACTTGCTTTTTTATAGGATAAGGGTTACAAACGAGCACACAGTCCATCTGATGGTAAGTGGTTGCTGTGGCACATAGACATCTACATCTATCCTCGATTATGAATCAAAATGCAGATGCGTCATCCCTAAGGACTAAGACTGAATGGCTTGATTCCAGTAAAAAGCGTATTCGCTTCTCTACACTCATCATACGAAACACAACAGCCTTAAGCTGCTATTTTATGCTGGTGTTCTGTGAGAGCATGGTCCTTCCCCGGTCGAGCCGACCCATTCGCGCTACAACTATATAACTGCAGTTTGACTCTACCACGTAAGAAATCCAGTATTGAATTGACAATTTTTATGTAAGTACAAAACGTTAAATTTAAGTCATGATATACTGAATCATTTAGGTCATTAAATGTGAAGAAAGCGAAAGTGTAATTGAAGGTCATGGGGTATTTCTATGAAAGTATTAACTATTTCACATTCTAAATTCGGTTATCATCGGTGACAACACTGTTTTTTTTTAAAGAAATTAGATAGATTTCCCTTCTGAGCCACGTCCAGGCGCTGTCATTTGTTATTATATTAGGCTAGTTGTAGTAGTAGCTATCATATATTAGGCTAGTCATTACGAATCGTTTCGCACGCAGACTTAATGATTTTTAGCAGCCTAAACTATCTGATTTCCGAAAAGACACAAAAGCCTTTTCGGAAACCAGTTTGTTTGGGCTCGCATACATACACAGACACATACACATACGCATACCACATATACGAGTACATATCTTTTGGCAAATTCCACAAAATGGGGTTGTTATAAACTAATTTGCTTAATTCCGCGTAAAGAAAGAAATAGATGGGCCCTGCCCAGTTTTAAGGGCTTCCGCAAAAGGGATTTCGGCAAAGTAACGCCTGATTCTATTAATTATCCTAAATTTCACAAAAGACCGAAGAGTACAGTCTGCCACTTTGTCTTGCGTATGGATTATGAGAAAGCCTTTGATTCCGTCAAAATTTGAGCTGTGCTGTGTCCCTTCAGCGGTGCCAGATTGACGGACGGTATATCGAAGTGATTTAGTGTTTGTGCTACGATGTCTATCCGAGTTCAGAACCAGAGTACGAAATCTATCGTTATATAGTTGTATCTTTCTTTGTAACCTTGAAACTCTTCACCGCTACATCGGAAGATAATTTCAAACTACAACAAGCACTGTGGCTACGACTGAGACTGCTCAATAACCTCAATAGTCCCTTCCAATGTATAAGTCTCAAAGTGAACATGGACAAAACAAACAAAAGTCATGTGTAATGTACATGTCACACACATGTCAAGGCCAATAGTTGTAAGTCCAACATTGATTCAACTCCTAGGCAGCGTTCGGGAGATTACGACACATCTTCTCGTCACGTATACCTTGCGTTAACTTGAAAATTAAGAGTATACAACCAATGCGTGTTGCCAGTTGCCAACGACATCTGGATCTGAGACGTGATCCTTCACTGCTGGCCGTATGAGAAACTGCTGGTCGCTTATCGAGCTATGAGAGGACTATGCTCAGAGTTTCTCTACGTCATAGACCTCGTAAAGATAAATTAGTAAACTGAAGTGGCAAAAGGTTGGCCATTTTTTTTTATACAATAAATGTGACAAACGGGAACACAGTCCACCTGATGATAAGTGGGTGCTGTGGCCCATTGACATCTACGTTTATCCTCAATTAAGTATTAAAACGCGGAAGCGTTGTCACCCCTGAGGACTAAGATGGAATGACTCGTTTCCAGTGAAATAAGGTCTCCGGTTCTCAGGACTCACCATACGAAACACAGCAGCATTAAGCTGCTATTTTACGCTAGTATTCTATTAGAGCGTGGTCCCACCCGACGTGTGGCTCTACCATGTATAAATACCATAAAGTTCAAAGAACCTACAAATGATAGGGAAGGAAGGTTCTCGAATGGCAGCTTAGAGCCTGCAGATCCAGTGACGATCTGGTAAGTGATGCAGGAAGTCGATAGATGCAGGACCGTACTTTGTGGCATTCCTTGAGGAGGCCTGTATTCAGTAGTGGGCAGTAGATGATTGCCATTGCCGCCACACTTGGTAGTCGTGTTGGTAGGCGCAGTTTATGTAAAAAAAATTGAGCAGAAATTAAAAGTTTTGAGCTCCATAGAATAAGGTGTTGCTGCCCATCTTTGTTTCAGTTTCCCTCTTACGCTTAATAAGACACCAACTGGATCATAAGTTCTGTAACGCCACCATACACGGCAAGGAAAGGTGTATTAAAAATACAGAAAAAAGATAACGTTAGTAATATATTTAAATATAATAATTTAATCATTGTCAACATCAGTTGAAAGGTATCGAACTTCAGGATCACTGGATACATGACCTCGGAACCGCGCCAACGCAATACGACCTCGTGCGCTCCCGAACTCCACTATCAACCACGCCAAACCAGCACAGCATCCGACTGCTATTAATATAATTAGACCTATTTTCAGTCCGCTCGAACGACCTGTGAAAAAAACATTTATTTTTTTATTATTCCAGATTCGATTCAGACCGTCAACGACCCAAGAAAACATTTCAATTACACCAGGGGATAAAATACAGCCTATAAAAATCTACAACCAACTACAAATAAAAAAGGATTCAGATGTGTCGTCAAAGAGAAATAAAATTATTTGATTATTAACTTTTACCTGGGGCTTCACTCGCGTTTAATTAAAAACCGGCCAATTTTTAATTGCACCGTGGATTAAAAATACTTTAAATTGGGATGTATTAAAAGATTTTTAACTAAAATATAACCTATGTTTTATTCTGGTTTGGTAGCTATAAAATGTTGCTATGTTTCATCAAAATCCGTTCAGTAGCTTTTACGCGACAAAACCACAAACGTAAAAACATCCAAACAAACTTTAACAATAATAATATTAGTAAGAAGTAAGATTAGGCCTTATATCCCGTAATTATCCTAGCTTTTCAAACCTAAACACAACATTGGTTACAGAAGCTTAAAAGTTTTCTAGGATTCCTTTTATTTTATAGAATAAGGGTGACAAACGAGCACACAGTCCACCTGAATAGTGGTTGCTGTGGCCCATCGACATCTACATCTATCTTCGTTTGCCGTGAGGACTAAGATAGAATGCCTCTTTTCGAGTAAAAAAGGGTCTCCGGTTCTCCACACTCACCATACGAAACAGAGCAGCGTTAAGCTGCTATTTTACGCTAGTATTCTGTGAGAGCGTGGTCCTTTCCCGGTCGAGTCGAACCATTCGTGCTACAACTATACTATTAATATAGTTTTGTTTGGGTAGATACTATGCTCTTACCTATTTCTCCCGCCAAATAGCAGTATTTGTTGTTCCAGTCTCAAGGGTAAAGAGACCCAGTATATAAAGACTGTGGAGTATTCCACATTAACTTTAGTGACAACGTATCTGTAGTTTTTTGCATGAAGTTAGTTGCAGGTGTCCAAGGGCTTCAGCAGCCACTTATCATCAGGTAGACTGAATGTTCTCTCTCTACCTCTTTTACTCTTATTTGTTTGATTGTTGATTTTTTATTTATATATTCACATTTAATATTTAGTACATTCATTCATCATCACCATTACAGCTCTTCACAAGTCCACTGCTGAACATAGGCCTCCCCCAAAGAATGCCACAAAGCACGGTCCTGAGCCACCTGCATCCATCGACTTCCTGCATGTCTTACCAGGTCGTCACTCCATCTCGTGGGGGGACGCCCTACACTTCGCCTACCGGTACGAGGCCGCCACTCAAGAACCTTTCTTTCCCATCGATTGTCGGTTCTTCGAGCTATATGGCCGGCCCACTGCCACTTCAGCTTACTAATCCGTTGGGCTATGTCGGTTACTCTGGTTCTACTGCGGATATCCTCATTTCTAAGTTTATCACGCAGAGAAACTCCGAGCATAGCCCTCTCCATAGCTCGCTGAGCGACCTTGAGCTTTCTCATACGGCCAGCAGTGAAGGACCACGTCTCAGTTCCGTAAGTCATCACTGGCAACACGCACTGGTTGTACAATTTCGTTTTAAGGTTTTGAGGTATGTCTGACGAGAAGATGTGTCGTAGCTTTCCGAACGCTGCCCAGCCGAGTTGAATCCGTCCATTGACCTCTCGGTCGAAGTTGGACTTACCTAGTCGGACTATTTGTCCCAGGTAAACATACTCGTCAACAACTTCGAGCTTAGTGTTCCCAACAACTACCGGCATAGGTGTGACATGGACATTAAACATGATCTTTGTTTTGTCCATGGTCATCTTAAGACCTATCCGTTGGGAAACACTATTGAGGTCATTGAGCATAGTGCTTAGGTCCTCCAGCGATTCTGCCATAAGGACTATATCGTCGGCAAATCGAAGGTGAGTGATGTACTCGCCATTGATGTTGATACCGTATCCTTTCCAGTCCAGAAGCTTGAAAACGTCTTCCAATGCAGCGGTGAAGAGTTTCGGGGATATGACGTCACCCTGTCTTACACCTCTCTGCAATTGGATAGGTTTCGTACTCTGGTTCTGTACTCGGATAGCCATCGTAGCCCTACTGTACAAGCACTTCAGCACTTCGATATACCGACAGTCCACTTAGGACTGCTGAAGGGACTGCAGCACCGCCCAAATTTCGACGGAATCAAAGGCTTTCTTATAGTCCACATACGCCAGACATAGTGGCAAATTGTACTCTTCGGACTTCTGTACAATTTGCCGAAGGGTATGTATGTGGTCTGTGGTGCTAAAGCCCTTTCGGAAACCGGCTTGTTCGGGAGGCTGGAAGTCGTCAAGTCTGCGCGCGAGACGATTCGTAATGACTCTCGAAAACAGCACGTAGACGCGGCTCAGAAGGGAAATTGGTCTGTAGTTCTTCAAGAGAGCGTTGTCACCTTTCTTGAAGAACAAGACCACCGCACTTCTGCTCCACGCCTCCGGTGTAATGCCACCATGGAGGACGGAATTAAAGAGCTTCTGAAGGACTTCAAGTACCGGTATTCCACCACACGCTTTCAGAAGCTCCGCTGTAATTTCATCCTCGCCTGGGGCCTTACCGTTTTTATGGTGCTGGAGAGCCATTCTAATCTCGCTCAGACTGACGTCCGGGATATCTTCGGAATAGTGTCGGATGAGACTCGCTCTTGGATCATTACTCACACTTGCGTGTGGCTTCAACGATGACGTGTACAGCTGCCCATAGAACCTCTCAATCTCACTCAAAATCTCATGTGTCCCGGAAACGATGCTGCCACATTCTGTCTTCAGCTTTGACAGTTGGCTCTTTCTGGCAGACAGATCTCTGGCAAAGACTTTGGAGCCTTGGCTCCGTTCGATCGCTTCTTCAATACGAGCTGTATTGAAGTTGCGTAAGTCCCGCCGCATGCATTTGGAGATCTGTCTGTTCAGATGCCTGTATGCTGTCAAGTCTGTTGAAGAATGTAGCTTCATCTCCCGTCTAACAGCCATGAGATTAAGAGTGTGATCGGAGAGTTTTTGTGTTCTTCTGCGGCGGGTCTTGCAGAACTTAGCTCCGACCGCATGGACAGTTTCCACGAGCTTGTCATTCATATCGTCCACTTCATTGCAGTTTTCTAGGCACTGAAAACGGTTTTGTAACTCGAGCTGAAAGGTTTCGGGACTTTGGAACAAAGCACGAGGGGGACGGAGCGTTGACTTCATTAGACGAGACCTCTCCAACTTAACGTTTAGGTTCAGTGTGCCTCTAACCATTTGGTGATCGCTACCAGTTTTCACCCTCGCGATCATGGAGACATCACTGAACAGTTGTCGTCTGGTCGTCATAATGAAGTCAATCTCATTTTTTGTCGAACCGTCGGGGCTCGACCAGGTCCACTTCCTGTGGGGCCGCTTCTGGAAGAAAGAGTTCATCATAAAGAGTCCCTCTTTCTCCATGAAGTCTGCCAGCTGCTGGCCCCGTGGGTTCCGTTGCCCTATTCCAAATTTCCCTACTTTCAGCTCACCGTTCTCTCTTGTGCCTAGTTTTGCATTGAAGTCTCCCATTAACACCGTATATTGGGTTTTGGAGGAATGCATGGCTCTAGAGATATCCTCATACATTTCCTCCACTTCCTCATCGGGGTGTGCCGAGGTTGGTGCGTAAACCTGTATGACCTTCAGCGAATACCGTTTGGTGAGTCTGAGTATAAGGTACGCAACCCTCGTCGTCACACTCCCGATCTTTACAACGTTGTTAACGAGAGACTTGTGGACGATAAATCCAACACCTCCTTAGGACAGATGGTCGCCCTCCCGGTGATAGAGCAAGTTGCCGGATTCGAGGATTACCGTGTCCTCCCCCTCTCTTCCGACTTCGGATAATCCTATAATATGCCAGCGTAACTTGTCTATCTCTTCTTCCAGCTCCACAATCTTCTCGTCAGTCCTCAGGGTGCGTGCGTTGTATGTTGCCAGGTCGAGTCGTTGTAGGTGGCAACCGAACCTCCACCGGAGATTCTTAGCACCCCCTGCCCCGCCGTTACCATGTTCGCCACCGTAGCCAGGAATAGCGGGGCCGCCGGGGACTAGGGGCCGTCTCTTCGTAACTTTCATTATGGGGGGTATATTGCCATAGTTGCCACGCTTGGCGAGCGGGTTGGCAACCGCAGTTTTTTTTATTGTTAGTTTGTTGTTATCAAGAAGATGCTGCTGCCCATCTCCTGCCTGTTTCCCTTTGTCGCCTTTTACGACACCCACGGGAGGATATGGGGTAGTGGATATTCTTGACCGCCACTACACGGCAATTTAGTACATTATCTCTTGATATTTTCTTTGTACCGAAGTCAAGTTTGGTTTTTTATAGGATAGGGTGCCAAGCGAAAACGGCCCATATACATCCATATCTATCCTAGTTTGCGAATCAAAATGCAGATGCGCTGCCACCCGCGAGGACTAAGACACGGGCCCGTTTTCCAGTAAAAATTATCTCCGGTTCTCTACACTTACCATACGAAACACAGCAGTGTTAAGCTGCTATTTTAAACTTGTATTCTGTGAGAGCATTGGTCCATCTCCGGTCAAGCCGGCCCATTCGTGCTACAATTATACTACTAATATAGCTGCAGTATGGCTCTACCACGTATAAAACGTATAAAGTGGCGATGGGCCGGCCATACAGCTCGAAGAATCGACAACCGATGGGGAAAAAAGGTTCTCGAGTGGCAGCCTCGTACCGACAGGCTAAGTGTAGAACAGACAAACTGGTAAGACACGCAGGAAGTCGATGGACGTAAGTGGTTCAGCACCGTGTTTTGTGGTAAGGGCTGTAATGAAATATATTGTTTGGTATAGTTATTCATTGCTGATTTCATTTGGTTCGCTGTAAGCAGTTCCAAATAATGAAAGCCACACGGCATCCTTAAGTTAACGTGTCTATAAAAATTTAATAAAGGAGTGTATCATAAATAATATTCGAAAAAGTTAATGAAAGTCTATATATAAAACTAATTTATATCATATTGCACTCACTTTTTGGTTCCTCTGAAGATACTGTTCTACTTCCCTCCTTCTTTTGCTCGGCTTCATGTTCCATTTTTGCTTTTTCAACCATATCCCGATAAACATCATGGTCTTCTATTGGTCTCGAATAATCTTTGGGGATTTTTGTAGATGTGCTGGGAATTTTAGTCGTAGACGATTGTGTTGTTTTTATGGGCAATTTTGGAATTATTGTAGTTTTAACTGTAGTAAACTTTCGTGTATTTTCAGTAAATTTGTATACGGGTGTAGAGGTCTTAAAAACTAACGTACGCCTCTTAAATATTGTTGTTGGTTTTGTTGAAGTTGTCGTCTTGGGTTTAGATGTAGTTGTGCTAGTTGTAGAGGTAGTTGTCCTTTTAACAGTTGTCGAGACAGTTGTCAATGGGGTTGTTGACGTTGTTATTGGCGTAGTTTTTGTCGTTGCTATAGGTGTACTCGATCTTGTACTGGACGTGGTTTCTGGCGTTGTCGCTACCAATTTTTGAGTTTGAGGTGCTATCTCTACTGAGGTGTTTGATGCGCTATCGTCGGAATCTGTGGAAAAAATTGAAATTTACTAGTGAACGAATATATACTCGAATATATTGTCAACGCTGCAATTTGATTTCTATGTACGAGTATTATAACATATACTATAACATTGCGGACGTTTCTAAAACATTTCTCGTACAGTGCAGTCCTGTTTTTTCAGTTACGTCAACGTACTCATTCGATGCTTAGGTCAAATATTGACCGTAATAAGTAGATCAAATTCAAATAAAAAATTTGAAACAAGAATTATACATACGTTTAAATGATTACGCAATACTAACAAAACCCTACCAAATCAAGAACAATAAGAAATGGAAGCAGAATATCAATTAACAAATAGAATGGAAGATGGGAAAAAAGGTGTCAGACAGCCTGTAGGCTTGGATGCATCTTGTAAAAGGGAAGTTTTAAAGTAGTTAAAGATGTAGTATTAGTTATGGCAATTTCACTCACCGTTTCTATCTCTAAATACTCACCAGTGGAAAACATGCACAGATCAAAGAAGTCTGGGCAGCAGCTCCCATCATTCACACAGGATCCAGTGCAGCCGCAGCCCAATTCATTGTTAGGCTTCCCAATACTGCCGCAACGGTCCGCACAGGAATCCGCTAAAATTTGGAATAGTCTTTATATACCGGCTTACTATTTTTTACTTGACTGTTCACAAACCTAAATATCGTTCATATTCATTATTTTTCGTTGAAATTTTATAGAATCTATCAATATATAATCCTAAAACAAATCCAAACGTTAATTTGAAAAACTCCACTGTAAAAATTACGCTCCTTCTGGGGCAGTCGAGTAAAAAGTTAGGCTTCGGCAGAAAACCAAAAAATTCAAACGATCCGCAGCTAGGTTATTCAGGTACAAAGGCCAGAGAACATACACAGAAATACGTGTAAATTTAACGCTGGTTTTGTAATATAAGAAACTGTATCGAAGATGTCACACCGTCTGCGCTGCGTGTGCAGCACGTGTGATTGAGACGGTGTGACGGAAAAATAATTACAAACATCATGTAATAGCTTCTGAATTCGGCGCTCTAATTCTTTGATATTTCTTTTTGAGTCAATTTTTTTGTTATTTAAATTAAATAAAGTACGTCTATAACTCAATACTCGTACTCTATTAGAAAATTTTGTAAATAGACGCCTGCATAATAAAGTAAAATCAGTCCCAATAGAAAACATTATAATATCATATTTAATTACTAGCTCGCCAGGCAGACTTTGTTCTGCCCTTTCCGACGACCCTTCCTATGAATAAATCCTTAAATTCGCCATAAAAAAAATTTAAGGTATAAAAAGTATCGGAATAAAAAGTATCCTATCTCTCAAGTTGGACTAAACTGCACACAGTCTGCAAAATGTCATTGAAATCAGTTCAATAGTTTAGGAGTTCACCGCGGACAAAGAACGTGACACGTAATTTTTATATATAAAGATAATTGCGATTCTCCATTCGAGAACTCTCCTTGGATCGTCTGGATTATAAAACAAAAGCAATATATATATATAATCTCCCAAGTAATTGTTAAATTAGTAAACATAAATACTTATTGGTTCCATTATTGTATTTATGACGTTACGGAATAGAGGAATTTAGTCAGTTAGTAATGCTTTACCGATCAATAAACGTTGTTATATATTTTCTATCTCGAGTTATTTACCTAGATGTGTACCTAGTTATATGTTTTTATTACAATATCAATTTTTTTTAATTTTTTACAATATTGAAAACTATGATTAAAAAAAAAACTAAAACTAGTAACTTAATTATAATACAGTCTTACTCCCCGTGGTATCGTGCCAAGAACGCTGGCTGCATTGCAAATATGTAGTCATCTCTCAGAAACTCCTTAAAATTGCATTGTTATCTTTTATATTAATAAGGTTAATTTTTTTAAATTATTACCTATTTCATCATTTACAATTGTCGACGAGGCTTTGCATTTATTTATGCTAGTGTTAATTAAATATGTATTTCAATTTTTTTTACGCGCAAATACATTTATTGATGATTGTTGAATAACTTGTGTTATTCAACAATAGTTTACTAATTTTGTTTATATAATATTTATATCTACTGACTGCCTTGTTGATCTAGTGGTTATAGTAGTGCGACTGCTGATCACGAGGTCCCGGGTTCAAATCTCGGGTCTAACCCAAAAAATCAGTTATTGAGCTTTTCTATCAAGAAACTCTCAGTAGCTGCCCGGAGTCAGGTAGCTGGCGGTGTCTCACGCCCATGTCTCGGAAAGCACGTAAAGCCGTTGGTCCTGCGCCTGATCTCCCTCCGATCGTGTCGGTTTACCGTCCCATCGGACTATGTGAGTGAGGGAATAGAGAGTGCGCCTGTGCTTGCGCATACACTTGGGCACTATAATCCTGTCCTGCGCCGATGGCTAGTCTCCGTTGAGACTGGCCATCGTAACCGAAATTCGATCTGGAGGACATTATTTATATCTAAATAACCTCTTCCGTTTGCAACTTATCCTTAGTCATTTCCTTTTTTTGACGGTAGGAGTGGAATAAATTAGACGCTTTATTTACTGCTCTGTAAAAATTTTCGTTAAATATATAATATTAATAGTGCTGTATATAAAATTAATGTATTTGTGATATCCCAACTCCTGCCAGTTTAGTCTGATAATATAATTCAAAGTAACTAGTGAGCATATTGTTATCTTCGCACACAATAACCTAAAAGTTAAATGGAGTCCATTAAGAAATCTGTTGCGGACCTCACTGAGCACTTTAACTTGAGGATGGCTGAGTTCCAAAAGGACCTTAAGAGCGCAATTCCAGCTACGAGCCCTACTTCAAATATCAATCATCAGTTCAACACATTCCGTTCCTTTGTTCTAACTGCGCTTGAGAACTTGCAATTACAAGTAGAAATCTTGACCCGTCAGAATGATGATATGGAGATGAGATCTCGGAGAAAAATTTTGCTGGTGCATGGTGTAAATGAAGACAAGAAGGAGAACACAACCGCCTGTGCTGTGAAGGTATTATCCGACTACTTGAAAATCCCTGGTATCACATCAGACTCCATTAGCCGGTCCCACCGTCTGGGTCAAACGGGAACTGACAGGCCCCGTGCGATCCTTGTGAAATTCCGCGACATTGCGATGAAAGACAAAGTATGGCTGGCAAAGAAGAATCTTAAAGGCACTGGAATCACCTTGTCGGAATTCCTCACACAAAGTCGACATGCTGTGTTCCAGGAGGCGCGTAAACGGTTCGGAGTTTCGAAGTGCTGGACGAAGGATGGCACCATATTGGTATTAGGTCCAGACCAAACACGGCACCGTGTCTGCTCCAGACTGGACCTGGATGTTATCCCGAGCTCCGAGTTGGTGGTGCAGGCCTCGTCTGCTGTGACAGTTGTTGCAAGTGCGGTAAAAGATACCAGGTGTACTCAAATTAAGTCGAAAAGAGTTGCTAAGAAGTAAATTTTTCGTGTATGTACTCTTGTGTATCTGTTTCGAATATGCCTGTATGTCTATTGGGAATTTACAGTTGAGTTATTTTTTGTGTTTTATGTTATATGTAGCATAATCAATTAATATTTAACTTTAATTTACCGAGTTCTTAATTTTTTTTTATTGTTTATGTATGCCATAACATGATTATCATAAGACATTTCGTTAACGTCATTTGTGTAATGTAATGATGTAATCATAGATAAATTTATATGTAGCAAGCTAGATGTAATCCAGTAATCGTGCAGTTACAACCACAGATTGTAAAGCAGAATTCTCAACCATAGAGTTTATAAATCACTATTTAAAACCTGTCTTTGTTATTGCTTATTGCGTTTCGTTTATGCAATGAAAATACTATGTCTATGAGTGAAAATGATACAATAAAAGCGCTATTAACGTAACGTTATTTATAACTAGTTTTTTATAGCGTTATGCTTAATTTTGGTTATTTAATGTTATACATGCTTATTATGTTATTAATATACTACCAATAATACATTATTCTTAAAATTGGCTAAATGCTGTTTAAGTTTTCACTTTATCGTTTTTCGTCACGATTTGTTTTTTTTTTTTGATTTTATCTTTTTTTTTGTTACTTTGTGTTAGTTGCTTTGAAACATACGATATATGTTTTTTTTAACTAATGTAAATCTCTTTCAGACTGCTGGCGGGTTGGGGTTCCGTATATTTATTTTTCATACCTTTTGTTATTTAATAGTTTATTATATATATTTTTAGTTTATTTTATAATGTCGTTCGATAATAGTGTTGTTAATGATGATTTTGGTGATTTTTTGTCTTTGCCAAGTGATGTTACATCTAGTGAGTTTAGCTTTCACAGTACAATGTCTTCTATTCCGTTAAATGATGCCCTTAATTCGTACTTCTCAGATTCTCTGATGAATTTTAATGTGATTCACTTAAATGCACAAAGTGTTCCAGCCCACTATCCTGATATGCTTGCGTCTTTTGAGTCCCGTAACATTCACGCTATTCTTGTTTCCGAATCTTGGTTGAAGCCATGCTTACCATCCACTTCATACTCATTACCGGGATTTCATCTCATTCGCAACGACCGTATTGGTAAGGGGGGTGGAGGGGTGGCGATTTACCTTCGTTCTTACATTCCCTTTACTGTTGTAAGTTTGTCAACTCAGCCTCCTCCTTCTAATGCGGTCGAGCATTTATTTATTGAAGTTACTCTGTCTCATACGAAAATTCTTCTAGGCGTTTGTTACAGTCCGTCTCTCCACATTGATTACTTCTCCTCATTTGAATGTTTATTAGAAAAATTGTCCCCGTCCTATAGTCACACCATAATTATGGGTGATTTTAATACATGTTTACTTAAAAGAGACAATCGGTGTAAGAAGCTACAATCCATTGTACAGGCGTGTAACTTACATATATTACCGCTTTATGCTACACATAATCTTCCTGATTGTACCCCATCTTTACTTGATTTAATTATTGTTTCCTCGCCTGATTTTGTCCAGAAGCACGGCCAACATGAGGCTGATGTTTTTTCTTACCACGATCTCTTATTTCTTACATACAAAGTTCGTCCTCCTAAAGTAAAATCGAGAATCCTTCTGCAACGTAATTTTAGTGGAATGGACAAAGAACGTCTTATTGAAGATGCTCGCCTTTTGGATTGGACCGCTGTGGAAAATGCCACTACGGTCGATACAAAGGTTGAGTTGTTTAACTCTTTTCTCATACAACTATATGACGTTCATGCACCAGTAAAACCAATAAAGATGATGCACTCACCTGCGCCATGGCTGACCGATGACCTTAAACATCTTATTATCAAAAAAGGCTTCGCGAAAAGCAAACTCAAGGCTGAAAGATCTGACAAAAATCTGCGAAACTACAAAAAAGTTAGGAATCGCTGCAATACATTGTGTAGGGATGCACAACGACGCCACATTCATAAATCAGTCGAAAACGGCGACACTGCCAAGGTTTGGAAATTTCTTCAATCACTTGGAGTTGGCAAAGCATCTTCTAGCTCATTTCAGTATAATTTTGATATTGAACTCCTTAACCAACATTTTACTTCTTCTAGTACAATAGACAGCTCAGATAAAGAACGCACTCTGAGTATTCTTTCTTCAACGCCAACTCCTAATTTCCCACCGTTTAAGTTCACTCCTTTCACTGACTGTGATGTTAAAAAGAACATATTGTCCATCTCGTCTAAAGCCGTGGGTGATGACAGTGTTAGTCGTAACATGATCTTACCAATCCTTGAATTTGTTACTCCCATTCTCACCCATATCCTGAATAAATCTATCTCCACGTCTAAATTCCCCGAAGCTTGGAAAAGCGCACAAGTAATTCCTCTCCCTAAGAAGGCCCAAGCCTCACATTTTACCGACTTTCGCCCAATTTCCATTCTTCCGTTTCTATCTAAAGTCCTAGAGAAACTAGTTTTTCAACAATTATGTCAATATCTAGATAGAAATTCCCTTTTAAATCCTGTTCAATCCGGTTTCCGGTCGGGTCATAGTACGACTACAGCTCTGGTTAAAGTTACTGACGATATTCGACGAGGTATGGATAATAAACAGCTCACTGTGTTGGTATTATTAGATTTTAGCAATGCCTTCAATACCGTAGATTTTGATATCTTGTTGAGCCTGTTACGTTCCATTAACATATCTCCATCAGTGGTTGGATGGTTTCAAAGTTATCTTAGGGGCCGCCGGCAGCGTATTCGCGTGGAAGATAAATTTTCATCTTGGTGTGAACTACCAGCTGGAGTGCCTCAAGGTGGTGTGTTGTCTCCTTTACTCTTTGCTATCTTCATTAATTCGATCTGTCACAAAATTTCTTCTCTCTATCACATGTATGCAGACGATCTTCAAGTGTATACGCAGTCAACTCTTGAGAACCTGCCTACCGCTGTTTCTGCCATCAATGCTGACCTGGCGGCTATTAGTGAATGGAGTAAATACTATGGGCTTAAGGTTAATCCTTGTAAGTCGCAGGCCATTATTGTTGGTGGTGCTGGGATGATTTCAAGAGTTGACTGGAATAACTTTCCCTCGGTGGTATTGAATGGTGTTGTAATACCTTACAGTAGCACCGTTAAAAATCTTGGTATCCACTTCGATACTACTTTCTCGTGGTCTCATCAATTGAAAGAAGTAAGCAGAAAGACTTTTGCTGCTATGGGTTTATTGCGGCGTTTACGTTCTTTCCTTCCCATTCCTACTAAAATTATGTTAGCACAATCTTTACTCCTCTCTATACTCGATTATGCGGGCGCAAGCTATCTTGATGTAACTGAAGATCAACTAAACAAACTTGAGCGTATTCAAAATCTGGCTATTAGGTTCATATTTGGCTTGCGCAAATATGACCATGTCTCCGAATTCCGTTTAAAGCTCAAGTGGTTACCGATTCGCCTTCGCCGGAACCTACAAATTGTTTCTCTTCTGTACTGTGTATTATTCGATCCAATGACTCCTAGCTATCTAAAGGAAAACTTTAAGTTTCTTGGTCATGACAGACCGGACAGAGTTCTACGGTCAGCCGGTGAACTTATACTCGCACCACATTCATATCGAACTAAATACTTTAAAAACTCCTTCACAGTTAAGGCCATCTGCTTATGGAATGATCTTCCTTCGCAAATTCGTCGTGCGAAAACACTAGAAAAGTTTAAGACTGACGTCAAAAATTACTACCTAACAGTGCATTAACTACTGGTCATCATTTGCGACATGTATTTTTTGTATCCTCTCTGTATATTTTTTTTATTTTTTTTATTTTTATTTTTTTATTTTTTTATTTAATTTTTATGTATATTTGCCTACTTAATCTTATGTATGTCTATTATATTTTGAATGTATATATTAGTGTATTATTTTTTTCATTATGTATCAGTTTAGTTTATTTAGGTATTAGTATGTAAGTTTACTATAATATACACCACCTCCCACTGTCCAATAGAACAACTTTCTCCTAATCTTAAGGTTGTCTGGAAGAGATCGCTTATTAGCGATAAGACCGCCTTATTGTACCTACCTCTTAAGTTTTACTCCTTGTAATTTGTTCTTTTTTATCGTTTTTTTGTGGTGTACAATAAAGTATAAATAATAATAATAATAATATCCATTAAGCTTTGTTGTATGTGTTGTTTATATTTAATTTAATTTACGGGAAATAGAGATTGTAAAGTAGGAGAAATAAGTTATGGAATTTTTCAAATGCTCCATTTGTATTGTTTTCTTCTAAAATATAGTGATACTATGAATACAGTTTAGTATATTACAAACCAGTGTTAAATGTTCGATGTTTGCATTTGTGGTCTCTAGCCTTTATTCTGCCATAAGTAAGAGGATTTCTTAAATTTATACGAACACTATAAAATTTAACAAAACTAATAAAAATAAGTTAATATAACGTGATAAAATTAATTTTAAACAAGCCTCTTAGTCTTACTAATAGGTAACAGAAAAAAAAATTACGCATGTTATTGGAAGGTGTGGTGGCTTCACGTTTCGCGGCGGTGCAGTTGCTGCCTTGCAGGATGGCTACGTCGTCTATTGCGATATCGCTGGTGAAGCTCGACCCACGGATACCTTCGATAACGATCTGTGGAGAGGAAAGGTTATTGAACTGAAGGAAACATACGTGAGGACGCCACAGTCGCTAATTTATGACTACAACACGATAAGTCGGCTAGACTGGGGAAGGACCACGCTCTTACAAACACGATGATATTCAATCTGTGTATCATCAAGGCAAGAGTGAATAAGATATTGTTTCTCTAAAATAAAATTTACCGTCCAGGGCTTCATCGCCACTTATCACCAGGTGGGATTGTAGTTAAGCATACCAATGTGTGTTTTCACCCTTGTGGAATGCAACGTTACTAGTCATTCACCATAGGAAACACAAAAGCATCTGTGGGGAAGAAAAATCATTGAACTGATGGAAGCATACTTGAGGGAGCCAAGCTGCAACTGTACTACTGTTAACTGCAGCACGTTGTGTCGGCTCGTCCACGGAAGAACCACGCTCTTGAAAACATCAGAGTAAAATAATATTAGGTCTTTACATATGAAATTAGCGTTTTGTCGTACAGACCACTTTGATGTGAAATATCTCCTCTTTGGTTAAGAATTCCAAATTCAAATTTATAAATTCATTTAGCGGGTACATTTATGTTTTGAAAACAGTCATTCATTGGCTTTTCCTCGTTATTTTTTTCTTTGGCGTCGCTTATTACCGCACAATGGAAAACATGAAATATCGGTATATTTACGAATATGAGTTCTACCGTGGCACCAGTGCTGCAGAAACAGCACGAAGGATTAATAATGTGTACGGCGGCTGGTGTCGCAAAAGAAAGCACGGTACGTTTTTGGTTTCAACGTTTTCGTTCTGGAAATTTCGACCTTCAGAACCAACCCCGTGGACGGCCGGAGACCAAAGTGGAAAATGAAGAATTAAAGGCTATTGTGGAAGCAGATCTATCACAAAACACTTCCGAGACAGCTGCAGGCTTTGGAGTAAGTGATAAAACTGTATTAATCCACTTGAAGCAAAACGGAAAAATAAAAAAACTTGAACGATGGGTACCTAATGAATTGAGTGAATCGAACTTGCAAACTTGCGTCGACTGCTGTGTTACTTTGCTCAGCCGACAAAATAATGAAGGGATATTAATCGAATCAGTACTTGTGATGAAAAGTGGATACTGTACGATACTCGGAAACGATCATCATAATGGCTGAACCCTGGAGACCTAGCCAAATCCTGCTCTAAACGAAAATTGACTCAGAAAAAGTTACTTGTTAGTATTTGGTGGACTAGAGCCGGTGTCGTTCTCTACAGCTTTCTAAAATTTGGCCAAACAATTACGGCAGATATCTATTGTCAGCAACTGTCAACCATGAAGGAAGAACTAGCTGCTAAACAACCGAGATTGGTCAATCGCTCTAGGCCATTGCTGCTTCACGACAACGCAAGACCACACACTGCACAACAAACAACCACTAAGTTAGATGAGCTACAATTTTAATGTCTGCGACATTCACCGTATTCCTCGGACTTTGCTCCAACAGATTACCATTTTTTCTGGAATTTGGACAACTTACAAGGAAAAAAATTCAACTCCGATGCGGCTGTCCAAACCGCCTTCAAAGAGTTTATTGATTCTCGCCCCCATAGTTTTTTTAGTAAAGCGATCAATGAACTACCTATGAGATGGCAAAAGTGCATAGATAACAACAGTGCATACTTTGATTGATTAAAAATTGACTTTATATTCCTCCCGTACAAAACGCCAATTTCATATATGTGTTTCGTAAAGTGAGTGACGAGATTCGGAGAGCTTTCAATAATGTGCTAAGCTTTAAGGATGACAACGCACTGACAAATTATTTTTTTATTTATTTCTTAAAATTTTATTATTATATTCTAAATGCCTAACTGGTTTGGATCTTAATTAAGGATATATGTAAGTATCTATGGTCACAGCATCAATTTACCATCAGGTGGAATCTGTGCTTGTTTGTCATTTATATTTTTTATAGGATAAGGCTGACAAACGAGCACACAGTCCACCTCATGGTGAGTGGTTGCTGTAGCCCATAGACATCCACATCTATCCTTGATTACGCATCAAAATAAAGATGCGTTGTCACCCGTGAGGACTAAAATGAAATGCCCCAATTCCAGTATAGTATCGATGTTTTACACCTTAGCTTAAAATTTTACAGTTTGTGATCAAGTTTAGGATCATTCACCATTAAATTGACAACAAATACGACCCAGTCTCATATCATCCATCCATTTTAGTCCTCAGAGGTGACAATGCATCTGCATTTGGATTCAAATTCAAAGATACTCGTAAATGTAGATGTCAATGGGCCACACCTTTCACTTACCTTTAGGTGGACTGTGTGTGTTGTTGATCACCCTTATTCTAATAAGAAAACAACTCAATAATAATAAAGATACGGTTTACAACCCGCCTGCAAAGCATGATAACTATGGCAAATATATACGAGACAATATATGGAGAAGTCCATGTTCACTAGTGAACATTTGATTGACTGTAATGCAAGAATGATGAATGAACTTGCAAATGAGTAATGATTCCAGCTAAGAATAATTCGCGGAAGAATGTAATTAAAACATTATGCTCAATAGACATATACACGTACAAACATAAACACACAAACACACACACACACACACACACACACGCACACACACACACACACACACACACACACACACACACACACACACACAAACACACACACACACACACACAAACACACACACACACACACACACACACACACACTCGCGCGCGCGCGCATCAAAAAACTTTATGACAAATTATTTTTATTATTGTTACAATTATTTTTTTCATTATTTAGGAAGAAATGAATTATTGGTAATGAGCTTATAATATAAGGCTATGGTAGCGTGTGCCCTTCTGGCAAAAGTATTTTAAATACTTAAAAGGAGGTCTCAACTATAACAATTTACAATGTACTTATTACCCAATAAATATTATTATGATTATTAAAAAATAGGGAATATGGCGAGGCACTACAATCTGCTGGGGTATTTTACATTCGGCAATTTTTAGGTTTTTCATTATTCAACTAACCGTTAATGTTATGAAAACTCACGAAGATTTTTGATAATTCAATTAAAGAACACGCTGTATAAATGGCGATAAAAACTACGGCAATTTAAGAGTGTCGTGTGGTGAGCCAGTAGCGTAAGGGAATCCTTCACCTCATTTCCTAGCATGGGTGTAGTAAAAAACAACAACCACCATCATTACAGCCTAACAAAAGCCCACTGCTAAACATAGGGCTCCCACATAGATTGCATAACTGGCCGGTTGGCGACCGCAGCATGTTTCAGTTGTTATTAAGCGTCTTCTACTTCCCATTTCCTGGTTTGTTTCATTGTATTGCCTCTTACAACAGCCAGTGGACGATATAGGATAGTGGATATTCTTACATTACCAATACACGGTACACGAAGACTATAGAATATGTTAAAAAGATGACAGATGTCATCTCGTTTACACCAAGCATATTTATGTCCGACGACGTGAAGGAGCGTAAAAATGCCAAACGTCTAGCATTGCGATCGTCAATGAACGTCTGTCAAGAGTGACGATTAAAGTAATTCTCTCCGGCATTGCACTTTTACGTGCCGATGATGAAGAAGAAGAGCGAAATTTTAGTGATAAGTCACTAAAACTGAAATGAAATTTTAGTGATAAGTCACTAAAACTAAAACGAAATTTTAGTGATACATCACTATAACTAAAATGAAATTTTAGTGATAAGTCACTAAAACTAAAACAAAATTTCAGTGATAAGTCACTAAAAGTGAAACGAAATTTTAGTGATAAGTCACTAAAACGAAAACGAAATTATAGTGATAAGTCACTTAACTAAAACGAAATTTTAGTGATAAGTCACTAAAACTAAAACAAAATTTCAGTGATAAGTCACTATAACTAAAACTAAATGTCAGTGATAAGTCACTAAAACTTAAACGAAATGTTAGTGATAAGTCACTAAAACTTTTATATTGCACTAGCCATCCGCCCCCGATTCGCACGGGTGATTTATAAATCTCGACAACAGCACCACCTGCCGGGTCTAATTGTGAATCTAAACCAAAAAAGTTCCCGCAAACATATTAAAAAATTTATCAAAATTCATCACACGTACAGAATAATTATATTATAAAGTATAATATATGTATTAAGACTAGCGATCCATCCCGGCTTCGAACGAGTGATTTTTGGATTTCAACAACGGCGCCATCTACCAGCTCCAATTGTGAATTTAAACCATTCTCGAATCAACTTAATCACACACACGAAATTTCTTCAAAATCGTTCAAGCAGTTTAGAGGGAGTTCTGTCACATACCTGGAAGTTGTCCGAAAAATCGGTCAGCTGCAGCACAGCATCGTACCACACGTCCCCTTGGTTGCCCCACTTCTCGAACAAAATATACTTCTGCTTTTCATTGCTCGGTAGACTAAGCAAGGAATCTAGGGCGTAATTTTCCGGTTTTTCGTACACACGCAAGCCTCCCGTTGTTCTACAAGAACAAAAATGTCTTAGTGATTTATATTTAATATTATATATAGGTAAAAACTGTGAGTGTGTGAGTTTGTATGTAAGACAAAGGCCTCTCCATATAATTCTAATACAGGGAATTAATTATAGGGGTGTCTACTAAATACTTATGTACGTTGTTAATCTGCGTGCCCAGATTAAATTAAACCAATTTGTTGTCTTTATATTTGGCCCATGTACCTTACCAAACATATATTACGCACCATTGCGTGCGTAATATTTTTGCGGATATCTACGCCCTCACTTTAAAAACCCTTTACAGAATTATTTATTTGGAACTGTTCGTGTGGCGGCGGTATAAGACAACCCACCACCTGTTGTATTTAATTACTTTTTTTACGTCTCAAAATGTATGTATACAAAAATTTTATTTAGTAATTTGTTTTTTTTTTCTCTTAGCGCTCCTGAATGTATGAGCATGCCTGATGACTACGCATTCCTGGCTTGGTGGATACAGCTCCGAGTAAAGAATGCTTGATTTTTTCTTTTGCAGTTAAATACTTCACTAGGTCTCTTATTTCTTGCTGTTTTTTTTTTGTATAAACGTAACCTTCACACTAGGATTTTACTCAGAGCAGGTTCCTCATTTACTCTCGGAACTGTATTCTCATAGGTTTTTTTCTTTGGTCATTACTGAAAACTGCGGATGCAACTCATGCGGATATTGGCCATTTTTGGAACGCTTTCGACATATGAAGCCAATTTTTTATTTTATATATAGTTGTAAGTCAATGGTCTTGTGCCAAAATAAAGTGTTTCTTTCTCTTTTCTTTTTCTTTTCTATTTCGTCCTCTCCCGTTTCTCTACCAGTTTCTGAGAACATAGGTCTTGACAGATTACAGACGGACCGACAACAAAATTATCCTATAAGGTTTCCGTTGTTTTAAGTACATTAACATTAATACTTACTTTCCAAACATGTGGTAGAAGAACACAAAACATCCGTTTTTAGCCAATGCTCCATCGAATATGGGTGAAATCAGACGGGCAGTATCGTTCTCGAACCGGGACGTACTCTCTATGTACATGTAATAACCTGGAACAACTTATTATATTAACTATCTACGTAAGTAAGGAAGTAAGTAAGGAAGGTAAGTGTGGAAAACCGGAGAACCTCTTTACTGTAAAAGAGGCATTCCATCTTAGTCCTCACGGCTGACAACGCATCTGCATTTTATTCGCAAACGAGGATAGATGTAGATGTCTATGGGCTACAGCAAACACTTACCATCATGTGGACTGTGTGTTCGCTTGTCACACTTATCCTATAAAAAAAAAGTGTCGACCATCCCATTTACGTCAAACGCAAATTACCAATTTTTGCGACGGGAAGTGTCAATTCTGGTGCTGCGATCGTCAGGCAGCCAGAAAAGCCTGACAAATCCTCCACAGAACGGTAGAGGATTATATAGCCTAATAAATATGCAGAAAAAGATGTTTTTTTTTTTATAGGATAAGGGTGACAAACGAGCACACAGTCCACCAGATGGATGTTTAAAATAATATTTTTTTAAAAAGTAGGAGAAATCTCTATTTGTTTCCATAATTTATTTATGTTTGTACACAACTTCATTGTTTATGAAGCGATTTTAATATTGCTTCTTTTATTAAGTATGTTTTTATTATGTTTATTATACTTCAGGAGTGGGTATATAAATAAATAAATAAATATTCACGAGTAAATATTTTCTTAGGTTGGAAAAATAGGAGATAAAGTTTTTAATGTATATTTGTAGACGAAATTCTAGATGTTACGTTGAACTTATGATATTCTTCTAAAAGGGTTAAAAAAAATAACCTTTTCAAAAACTAAAAAGTGATTTCCTAAAAATTAAAAAGAACAAAATAATTTGCACATAATCATTAGCTCTTCACACCGACTTCAGAAGCTGTTATGTGTTAATTACTTTATTATTTTTAATCTTTAAAAGTTTCTAGACATCTAAAAACATGCTTCGTTTTTCATTTTTCAAAAGTGGATTTCAATTTTTTTTATGTTTAATTTAAATAATTATTTCATTAATATCATAAACTGAACAAGTAGTAGTGAATAGAAGTAATCAAAAGATTCATACCTGATCCTCCTTTACCCAAGGTATGGTCATACGACGGTCCAGTAAAGAGAAAAGAGGAAGGAGTCTTCTTGTTCAGTCGCTTCCAGTCGAAATCGTGGAGATCGTCCTGGGTCCAGCCGCATAGGCTCGGCTCTTCAAAGTCACAACTAAGTGGGTTGGGCGCTGTTGAATCTGATAATTTAAGAATATTATTAGAATAATGCAAGTTTTACGCATATACGTGGTAGAGCCATGTTGCAGCTATATTTTTTTTATAGGAGAGGAGGCAAACGAGCACGCGGCTCACCTGATGGTAAGTGACTACCGCCGCCCATGAACAACTGCAACACCAAGGGAATTGCAGGTGCGTTGCCGACCTTTTAAAAAGGAGTAGGCTTTTTTCTGGAAGGTCATTAAGTCGTATCGGTCCGGAAAAATCGCTGGTGGTAATCGATTCCACAAGGAAGTAGTGCGAGGGATATAACTTCTTCTAAATCGCACAGTGGTTGATCGCCAATCATCCAGAGGGTATAGATGGTATCGCGAGATTTATATAGGTAATTTGTAGCATGTAATGGTCGGCTCGACCGGGGAAGGACCATTACTCTCACAGAATGTGAGCGTGACATAGCAGCTTAATGCTGCTATGTATCTTATGATGAGTGTAGACAACAAGATACTTTTAATATGAAACGAGGCAACTCATCTTAGTCCTTAGGAGTGACAACGCATCTGCATTTTAATTTTTTATTGAGGATAGATGTGTATATAATATACAATATGTAACAAAAACCCTGTGGTCCCCGTTAAGTACGTTATCAGGATCATTATTCAAACGTGTAGAAATAACTTTTTTTTAAAAACTCGAACAATATTTCTTTATTTTATTTAAAAAAAATTATATGCAAATTGTATGTGGTTTTACTACCTCTGCATTGTCCGGGGAGTAAGAGGATTGTCAAAGACCCCGCTTTATTTAGCCTTAGCATCGGCTAATGTCAGTAAGAGGTAATAAAACCACATAAAATTAAGAGAAAATTAATAAAATTAAAAAAATATGGTCGAGTTTTAAAAAAAAAGTTATTTCTATAGGTTTGAATACTGATCCTGATAACGTACTTAACGGGAACCAAAGGGTTTTTATTACATGTTGTATATGTCTGTGCGTCATAGCATTCACTTATCATCAGGTGGACTGTGTGTTCTTTGGGGTGACAATCCTTATTCTATAAAAAAAAGTTTGGCTCCGTGTTAGAGAGCAGTTAATACACCACGCTGCTCCAATGCAAATTTCACCATGATGTTTACAGAACACGTGGTAAATCAGCACTTAAAATAAAAATACAAACCCGGTTAAAAAGAGTGGAGGCCTGTGTCCTGGCTGTGGGAAGGCTATAACTTCTTTTTACAGAATATGAATATATAATAATAAACGGCACACTGTCCACCCGATGGTAAATAGAGGTTGTGGCCTACAGACATCTACAACTATTTACAATTTAGAATCAAAATGTTCATGCGTTCTCATCATTGAGCACTAAGATGGAATGCCACATTTCCCATTATAAGAGTCTCTGGTTCTCTACACTCACCACAAAAACACAACATTAAGCTGCTATTTTACGCTGGTATTCTGTGAAAGCATGGTCCTTCCCCGGTCGAGCTGACCTATCCGTGCTACAAGCTGCAGCGTGGTGCTAAATCTTGTCTGTATTGTTACAGTTCTCAGCCTCAAATCTTGATCGCACCCGTAACTTGTGCATAATATAAATAAACTATATATTAAATATACTATTAATTAAATATAATCTTCAAATATAAATAAACACAACGCTTGATTTGACAATATTTGGTAGGGTTGTTCCCGCCGTAATTATAATATTGGAATGTATTATCCATTATAAATTTAGTATTATAAATAAATTCTTTCAAAAAAAAGTTACACAAGGATTTTATCCTTTGCCGTGGAGTCGCTTTTCTAATATTAATCGCATACGAACAAACGTTCCGTGCAGGATTCGAATCCGCCTTCCCACAGGCTAATTCATTGTCATATTTAATTAATTCAATTACCAAGTCGTCTATGGAAGAGGCTGAAAGAAAAATAAAATTAAAAAAAATCTTACCAACACATGAAGGTGCGGTGCCATTCCATCTCCTGCCATCACAATATATAGTCGAGGAGCCGATCATCTTGTGACCAGGTAAACAGAAGAACACCACCCACGCGTTCTGTCTAGAAGGCATCTGGACGCCATTTTCTATTTGGGGTAGAGGACATCCAGGCCCTGAAAATATAAATAAATATGTTTTCGTAGCGGCACGAAAGTCTAGCGGTGATCGTTATTGCGTATAGGTCGCTCTGATTGGCTCGTGCATATCGTTTGCACGCACTGATTGGCTCTTCAGTCACATTGCAATTCAATTCGTGCGTGTACTCTCAACGTTTCGTTCAACTTATGTGCCGCGAATTGGAAGGATCAGTGTAATCCTTTTGCAGTGTGGTGAGGGCTGCGTAAGGGAACCCATCACCTCATTTCTTCCCGTGGGTGTCGTAGGAGGCTACTATGGGATATACCAAAAAGGTCTTATGGCTTCCTATATACGGCGGTATAACCACCTCAAAGGAGATTAGTCATCTGCACAGGACAGGAAAATAGTGCTCTCGCCGGTTCTTTGAGCTATATGCCCGGATCATTACCACTTCAGCTTACTGATCCATTGGGATATTTCGGTTACTCTACTGAGGCTCTACTGCGGATATCCTAATTACGAAGTCTATCACGTAGAGAAACTTCGAACATAGCCCTCTCCACAGCCCAATTTTCTATCGAATCTACTACGATGAGTGCTTTGTGGAATTGTTCGGATTAAATACAGCCGCTAAATTTCACGAACGCACATCGAGTCAAAACGGTGTTTTACTAGGAGTTTTCTTCCTCGTAAAACTTCTGTGTGGAATTGTTTACCACCGGAGATTTTTCCGAACCGATACGACTAAGGAACCTTTAAGAAAAGAGCACCTATCTAAAAGGCCGACAACGCATTTGCAATTCCCCTGGTGTTGCGGTTGTTCATGGGTGGCGGTAGTCACTTACCATCAGGTGAGCCGCATGCTCGTTTGCCCCCTCTTCTATATAAAAAAGCTCAGGCGACCGTGACCTTTTTAATTTTTTTATGGAATATGACATATTATAGATTATAGAATATAGATTTTAGACAAACGAACACAAACTCTACCTGATGGTAAGTAGACGCTGTGGCTCATAGTTATTACATTTTTCTTCGTTAATCGAAGATCAAAATGTAAATGCATTGTCAACCCTGAAGACTAATATGTAATGCCTCGTTTCCAGGACAAAGGGTCTCCGGTTCTCTAAACTCACCATTCTGAAAAAGCGTCATTCCCTGGTCGAGCCAACCTATTCGTGGTATAATAATATAGCTGCAGAGTGATTCTACCATGTGTGTGTATCACACAGCCAGCATGGCATGGCATATATATATATATATATAAAAATATATAAATATATATATATATATATATATATATATATATATATATAAATGTTCTAAATTAAATGTTTGTCCTTTTAATAAAGAACATGATTCAAAAGTGAGGAGTCAATTAAAAACAAAAATACAAAAATCAAACTTACGAACACAAACCGGTAAAGGCACGTCCCACTCTGTACCCCTGCAGGTTGCGTATTTGTTGCCGACCAACTCGTAGCGCGGTAAACAAATGAATTTGACGAGTTTCGATCTCTGCCGCACCCGTACCCTGCCGTTCTGCAGGCGAGGGAATCCGCAGGATGCTGATGAATATCTGAAATCTGTAAGTTTAAGTTAACGAAACCATTACTATATCAGCCTATCCACTGCTGAACACCAGCCTCCCACATAGATTGCCTTATAAGGATATTTGCCGTAGTTGCCACCCTTGGCAAGCGAGTCAGCCACCTCAGTTTATTTAAAAGAAGGCCGTGAAATGGCGGCGTAGGAATATCCACTACCACATATCATTCGGTGGGTGTCGTAAAAGGCGACAGAGGGAAACAGGAAATCGGCAGCATCATCTCCCTTTTAACTTAACCCGCCTGTTAAGCGTGGCAACTGTGGCAAATATCTCCTCAAATTGTGGCAAATATCCCATTATTGGAGGAGAGTTATGTTCAGCAGTGGACTCTGATAGGTTGTTATAATGACGATGATGATGAATATGAATGAATTTATAATATATTGTGATGAGCCGTAGAGGTGATGAAGGAAACCATCAGAAGGAAACCTACATGTCTAAGAAATAAAATATCTCCAGGGCATGTGAATTTTGTCACACACTGAAACAGCGACAATGATTAATTGCTTTATAACCCTGTCAGAAATGAGAGGAGGCCTGTGCCCAGCATTTAAACGTATATTTTTTTTATAGGATAAGGGTAACAAGCGAGAACACAGTCCACCTGATGGTAAGTGGTTGCTGTGGCCTATAGACATCTACATTTATCCTCGTTTGCGAATCAAAATGTAGATGCGTTGTCACCCGTGAGGGCTAAGATAGAATGCCTCTTTTTCAGTAAAAAGGGTCTCCAGTTCTCTACACTCACCATACGAAACACAGCAGCATGAAGCTGCTATTTGACGCTGGTATTCTGTGAGAGCGTGGTCCTCCCCCGGTCGAGCTGACCCATTCGTACTACAACTATACTACTAATATAGCTGCAGCATGGCTCTACCACATATATAAGCTATATGTAACTTGACTTTTATATTATCGTCATTAGCCTAAGACAGTCACAGTTGGACATTGGTCTCTACCAAGACGCACTACTTAACCCGGTTTTCAGCTTCACGCATCAAGTTCCTACCAGCCACTTGAAGATCGTTGCTCCATTTAGTCAGATTTTGTCCCACACGTGCGGTTACATAACGGTTTTTATAAAAAAAAATCCTCCAAAAACATAATCAACATCTTACTAGGTAGAGCCGAACTGCAGCTATATTATAGTTGTAGCACGAGTGGGTCGGCTGGCCCTGGGAAGGACCACACTCTCATAAAATAGCAGCATAAAATAGCAGCTTCATGCTGCTGTGTTTCGTATGGTTAGTGTATAGAGCCAGAGATCCTTTTTACTGGAAACGAGGCATTCCATCTTAGTCCTCAGGGGTGACGACGCATCTGCATTTTGATTCCTAATTGGGGAGAAATGTAGATGAATATGAGCCACAGCATTCACTTACCATCAAGTGGACTGTGTGCTCGTTTATCAAACTTATTCTTTATTTATGGGCTAGGCGTCCTTTTATTGAGAAACTAGCTGTGCCCGCGGCGTAGCTCACGTATATAGGTTTTACATAAAGAATTTGTCGTTTAGGTAAGAGAATATTAAACGATTTATTAATTTTATCAATAAGTGGTAACAAAATAAATCATTATCATCAAAGTTCTAACTCGTTTATACTAGAGCTTCTGTGTAAACGACGTTAGATGAAGGCTTAGCCGGGGTGTACACTAAAAGGTTACGGGGGCTACTAACGCGGGAAAAAGCAACATAGAGTTGGCCATGTGCATAACAGTCAGTACTGAGGTGCACTCCTACAACGCGTAAAGTTTGACTTTGCGCTTTATTTACGGTCCACGCATAACACACGCTGACTGTGACTGGTAACTGAACGCGCTTAAAACTGAAAGGAAAGTTATTTCTCAATACAGGGATTTTGGGCAGTGCTGCCAGATCAGAAAACTCATTCAGCGCTAGAACAATACAAAAAGCGCTAGATGTCACGAAAACAGCGCTTTAAAAAAGCTCTAGATTTCGCGCTAAATGAACTACAAACAAAGTGTGTGTTTTTTATTATAATTTATAATTCAAGAAAATATAATCATAATAAAGAAAACAATATTAAGCTTTTTTCTGGCAATATTTTTTTGATGAATAGAATAGAATAGAATAGAATATTTTTTATTCAATATACATTACATGTGTAATTCTTATTGAAAGTCATTTTTTACTTTACCACTGGTTCGAAAAAAACCCTCTGTCCTGGGAAGAACTAGCAAGAAACCCAGCGGGACTTTTTTTTAAAAATAAATTTTACAATATAAATGATTACGAACTATTTACAAAATTTATTTTAGAAACTGCTTGGAAGCGATCACCTCATTCCCAGGGGTTATTATCAACCATGTATATACTATAATAACCCTTTTTATACAGTTTCAGCTTAATAAAACATTTAAACTTGGTAATAGAGAGAACCTGTACACTTTCCGGGACCTTGTTGTAATAGCGTATACATTGCCCCAAGAATGAATTACTGACTCTGTGGAGTCGAGAAACTGGTATCACTAGCTTGTGTTTGTTCCTAGTGTTTACAGAATGTATATCGCTTCTTTTACTAAAACTATCTTTGTTTTTGTGAACATACATTAAATTTTCGTAAATATACTGAGAGGCCAAAGTTAATATATTAATTTCTTTAAATTTATCTCTAAGAGAATCTCTCGGTTTTAGATTGTAAATAGCTCTAATGGCCCTCTTCTGTAAAACAAAAATAGTTTCTGAATCAGCCGCATTTCCCCATAGCAAAATCCCATAAGACATTATGCTATGAAAATAACTAAAATAAACTAATCTAGCTGTCTCGACACTAGTGAGACCTCTAATCTTTTTTACAGCATAGGCTGCAGAACTTAGTCTGCTTGCTAATTTGGATATATGGGGGCCCCACTGGAGCTTTGCGTCAAGAGTGATGCCAAGAAAAACAGTGGATACAACAGGGCTCAATTCCTCCCCATTTAAAAACACATTGGTATTCAGATTTTTAACATTCGTTGTAGTAAATTTAACACAATTAGTTTTATTTCCGTTCAAATGCAGATTATTAACGTTAAACCAATGCACTAATTTTGATATAGCATTATTCACTTCGTCACATTTAAATGATTGACGTTCACATTTAAATGATGTATCAATACTTCGCAGGACATCGACTTATAATTATAGCAATTGCTGTCAACAGTAGTTAGTACTGTAAGAACAATTAAAAGATTTTATGGCGCCATTGAATAAATTCGAATCTACATTTCAAAATAATAATCATTACTTTCGATAGAATTAAACAATTTTAATAAATCAAATATACATTATATAAAACGTGAAAGAACTTATATATCATTGCCTGCACAGTAAACAAAAAAGAAAGTTTGATCCTCGCCAAAACCAACGCAATTGTTAATAGCTCTTTTAAAATTTCATTTACCACATAGAGTACTCGGCGGTAAAGAATAAATTGAGTTTGTCAACACGCAGTAGGGCAGTGAGTAATAAAAAGATTAGCAGTAAATATGAAAACTCATCTACAGGAAAAAACCACAACCTGCCTTTTTGCATTACATTTACACAATACCACCATCTGTCCGATGCCTCCAACGTCTTTTCAGACGTTGGAGGCATCGGACATCTGTGTCTACCACAGCGTTACAGCGTATAAAAACAGAGAGGCTACAAGATGAAGGTGTGAAAGAGAAGTTCAAATGTAGATTGAGAGAAAATATAAGTGGTATGGCTGAATTGTGTATGAATGATTTAGACTTGGAGACTGTGTGGTATAATGTCAAGAAAGGTTTAGTGGATGCAGCTACCGAAGTATGTGGTGTAAGCAAGAGAACAAATGAAAGGAAAAATAACACGTTATGGTGGGATGATGAGGTACGGATGGAAGTTGAAGCAAAGAAGAAAGCATGGCTAGATTTACTAGCAACCAAGGCTAGTAATTCTAGCAGTATGAATGATGATATTGAAAGGAAAAAGGCGGTTTTTAGACACCTAAATAAGAGAGTAAAAGAAATAGTTGAAAGGAAAAAGCAAGAAAGAACGGATAAGAATGATAGAAGAATATCGGATAACTTCCAGGAAAACATTAAAATGTTCTGGAAACTCGTAAGAACTACCAGGGGACATTCACAACAGCCTAGAATGAATGCTATACGAGACCAGAATGGCTGTATTCTGAATGACGAAGTTTTGAGTTTAAGGAGATGGAAGGAATACTTTGAAAGCGTGTTTATGAGTGATGAGACGTTTGAATTAAATGAAATAGAAATTCCGAAAGAAGAGGAAATAGATAGAGATATAAGTATAGATGAAATAATGAAAGCAATGAAAAGTATGAAAGTAGGTAAGGCAGCTGGTTATGATAGAGTATCTCTCGAAATGCTAAGGGCTGGAGAAGGAGTGGTGGCAGACCTGCTGTACACCTTGTTTAATTTATGTTGGGAACTTAAGCGGGTACCGGGAGACTGGTGCAAAGCCGTGATAGTCCCAATATATAAGGGAAAAGGATCACAGCAGGACTGTAAAAACTACCGTGGTATCAGCCTTCTTAGCATTGTGGGAAAACTGTATGCTAAGGTACTAATTGAAAGAGTTATGAAAGAAACTGACGGAAAAATTTGGGATGTGCAAGCGGGATTTAGAAAGGGAATGGGATGTACGGATCAGGTCTTTTCCATGCGCATGATCGCCGAGAAGTTTTTGGCCAAAAACCAAAAAGTTTTTTGTGCGTTCATGGACTTGGAGAAGGCTTATGACAGAGTGGACAGGGATGTGTTATGGCAAACACTGAACTCATTTGGGTTGAGCGCTGGTCTGATACAGGCATTGAAGTCTCTATATAGGGACTCTAGTGCTTGTGTCAGGATCAACGGGGCCTACTCGGACTGGTTTGACATCCATAAAGGTGTCAGACAGGGCTGTGTAGCTTCCCCGTGGTTGTTCAACCTGTTTATGGACAGTTGTTTGGAAAATTTGAAAGTAGAAGAATGCGGGTTAAG